AAAAAAAAGACCCGGATGGAGCCCAGGATCCTGGATGCTGGCTTTGGTCTGGCTCAACTCTGGCCTTGGTGGCCATTTGGGGGAGTGAACCAGTGAATGAAAAATCTAGCTCTGCCCTTCTCTCCCTGTAACCCCACCTTTCAAAAACATACATACACATGTACCTATCTTTAAAAATAATGAGCACAGGACCAAACAACTGCAAGTTGTAAAACAGAAAGAAGGTCCTCTTCCTGAGCTCCTTGGTCACGTGGGGGCTATCAGGAGTCAGATGGATCTATGTGGCTTTTAGATGATGCTAGGCCTGGGATACGGGAACACTAGTGGCCTACCATTAAGCCTACCTGCTCAGCCCAGGTCACATGGCAGCAACGGAGGCATGAATATACAGTCACCTTGGGGGCTGGTGCTGTGGCACAGTGAGCTAAGTCACCATGCTGTGGCCTGGTGGGCTAATCCTCCGCCTCCAGGGCTGGCATCCCACCTGGGCCCTGACTTGGTTCCTGGCTGCTCCACCTCTGACCCAGCTTTCTGTTGACGGCCTGGGAAAGCAGCAGAGGACGGCCCACATGCTTGGGCTCCTCTACCCAAGGGGGAGACGCAGAGGAAGCTGCTGCTTCCTGGCTTTGGATCAGCCCAGCTCTGGTTGCTGTGGCCACCACTCTGGGTAGAAGTCTGCTGTGATTCCTCTGCTACACAATCGGGCATCAGGGCTGAACAGCTCTTGTTCTGTTTTATTTCTCTCTGAAGGGTACAAGTCCACGTGGATATCAGAGCTTCCAGGTTTTGTTCTAGAGATTGGTTACATTTGGCAAAAGCTGAGCAAGAGACCAGAAATGAGAAAATCTGGCAACTTCTCAATTATTGAGTAAGCTATGCACATATATCCCTTGCAGAACTGGAAAGTCAGGGAGTTCTCTTAGGAGAACCTGGGGGCCCTGCAGGAAGAAGGCAGGGGCCTCTGGGGCCCAGGAAAACAAAGGATGGACTACACAGTGAGAGCAGACACTAAACCCACAAGCCTCAGTTTTGCTGACACTCGCCCGGGACCGCCCCACCGGCTCAGGGGACTGCTCAGCTTTGCTGGGAATGCCTTCTCCACAGTAGGTAGCAGTGAGGCATCTTACCTTCCTACAATACATGCTGCGGGCATGCGTGCGAGTACACACATGTCTACGGGCAACATTTCAGACTTGGTCCCAGCAGTCACAGATGTGCAGGTGCTGGGAAGGAGGCTGGAGTGTGACCCGAGTCAAGAATACACTCTCTGCTGCTTCCTTTGGACAACCAGAACTTCAAATCTGAGCGGGGATTCCAGCTGGGGGGTAGTACCCTACAGACTCCATTAAGCCACACGAGCACTAAAGACATCAGCTCAAACAGGTCTTTGTCACGTGCTTCAGGAACGCTTTGCGCGTAAGATTTCACCTTGTGCTCCACTCACAATATACACAGCAGTCAGTACCAACCAGGATTCTATGGAGCGTAGTTCAGACTATTCTAGAATGCTCCCGATTATTCCAAAGTGATGAACATCTCAAGTCCAGATGGCTTGGGGCCACACCCACTGCAGGTCAGCTCTCCTGCCCAGGATAAGCAGAGAACACACACTCAATGACTAGCCTGGATGCCAACATCCTCACCAGCCTTCTGAGGTATGGTCAACTGTCGCTGGTAGAGAATCTCTGGTCTGGTCTACTGTGGACCAAGTGACGAAGCTCCAGGTGGGCTTCCCCCGCCGGAAGCCTGGAAGGAGGAGCTGCGTCGTGTTCTCTATGAACCACGTGCCCAAGCAAGCAACTGGATCTCCATGGTCATGGCTGCTGTCCCTCTGGGACCTCAGCTTGGCCGCAGGGGTCTGCAGGGCAGCATCAGCAATGTTGTTGGGGTCTTGTCATTCAGGCTGTGAGAGGCTAGACCTGGGTATGGGCAATGAGTTAGGTGGCCTGGCCAGCCATTAAGTGTAGAGAGCCAGGGCCAGGAGTTAGAAGGAAGCAAACAGAGAAAGGAAAAAGGAACCATGGTCAGGAGGGGTGGCCTGAGTCTGAGGCTGGTGACCTACAGGAAACAGAAGCAGCCAGGAACCGAGAGGAGGATGGTCAGAGCCACGGTGATGATGGCAGAGGGCCAGGTCACCGATGTGACTTCTGTTCTTGCCTTGGGTTTCTGCACAGGATCCTGGGGGTGGGAGAGCTGGTGCATTTCCTCTGTAGTCCTGGGGGTCGGGGAGTGGGGAGTGAGGAGTGGCCCAGGCACTGCTTGGGAGGTGGCTAGTGGAGGATCCTGTCAAACGCTGGTAGTAAAAACCTCTTAGTTAGGTACATCCTGCCCAACAAGGCAAGAAGGGGTAGACCAGGTCAACTCCTGGGATGCCAGTGAGGCCAGCACATGATGTGACCGGGAATTCTGCCATGACCAGACACACAGAAAGGAACTGCAGGGCGACTCTATTACTACTTAGGGAAACCCAAGATGCACATTTCATTCTTCTGTAGCACACATAAAATAAAACCTGTATTCTAACACCATTATCCTGCCTACTACAATGATGCAACATGTATATGTACTTTTACGAGCTCTTGGAGCTGACCCCCGGACTTGATACGTTGGTTGACTCAGCTTAGGCCACGATGCACATAGGGATGTGAGGACCAAAGTCCAGTGTCTCAAGGGGGAGGAAGCCACCCACTTCACGCCGAGGCCATGAAAGCCACCAGCCCAGGCCAAAGTCCCTAACACCAGACAGGAATGTAACTCTCTCTTCTGGATTTTAACCAGCTTTTCTGCCTCCAATTTCCTTTTTGGTAAAGTCACAGTCTTTTCCAATCTGACCCCATAACTTTTGTAACACGTCCTTCTGTTGGTCAATGTGCCCAAGTGTAGTGTGATGGGGCTGCAGGTATAGAGACTTCCCCTGGTGATGCTCAGGCAATACTCTATGCGAATCCTTTTCCTTTTCCTCCCAAAGCTGGCCATCTTAGATATTTCTTTCTCTTCAAGCTCACTGGGCATGGATCATCTCAAAGCCCTTCTACCTTAAGACCTGAGAATCCATGGTAGGATTTAGCAGGCGATTTGTTCTGAGACATCAATTACACATACATACCTGACCCCTTCATCCTGTGAGCACCAGACTGCAGACTCAAGACGGCTGCATCTATCTCTAGGCACCACGGCCCTACAGGACCACTGTTGTATAGAGGCCTGGATTAGGCAGCATCTATCTGACCTGGTGCTTGCTGTCCCTGAAGGTTCAGCAAGACTCATCCCTGAGCCTGTAGGACCCCCACTTATTTCAATGTAGAATACCTGCTTCGAAACAGATCAGTCCCGTCTGATTTCATGCTTAGTGTTCATTTACACAGCGGACCCCCGGAGTTGAGGAGGGCCGTTTCGACCTTACATCAGAAAGGCACAGACATGGGCAGAGCTGCTAAGCAAGAGGGCGTTACAAGAGACGAGGCCTCAGCCCCTGTTGTATGGGACAAGCGTCTAACCTGCCTGTGTCCTCCAAGGGAACGTGGACGCTGACCAACCCAGCTGGAGCTTGCAGCAGGACCTCCCTCTCAGCACTGGGTTGGTCAGCTGGCTTTCTAGGGGGCTCTGGAAGACTGCCCAGGTCTGGCAGGCACGGTGGCTGGTCTGTGCTGTCAAGATGTGGTGATCCCTCTTGTGGTAACCCAGCCAGGACCTGGATTCTCCCTCAAGAGCGAGAACTTTGAAATTTCACAAGGAGAACTTGTGATGTCAACACAAATTCAAATGCATGTTCTCGCTCACCTTCTAAATGTGCTCCTCCTTACGAATGTAAGAAACTGCCCCGTTCCCACTCAAAACTTTGAAAAATTTTCATTTTTCTCTTTCCCCACTAGATGATGAGACAACAGCATTCCCCCTGCCCGCTCACACACGCACATGCGCACGCACAAGTAACAGTCCCTGCCTGCCTCACACACAGAGATTACGGGTGAGTGATGCAGCAAGTCACTCTGGAAATGGGGCTAGGTCACTGCCAACTGCCCTGGAGAAAATGGTGGCGTGGACGGCAAGACGCCCTGTGCCACCACAGTTTGGGAGCCTGGAGAGCCTTTCAAAGACGTCTTTCCATTCATTACCCAGAGGCCTGCAGGAGAAGGCGAGAGTGGCTGGCATGGGCTGCATTTTTGAGCCTGCCACACAAGGCTCTCTGCTGCCCCCATGCGTCCTGAGAGAGCAGCTGCTAAACCCAACCTCAAGGGAGTAGCTGTTGACACCTGCCCCAAGGCCATGCCTGTGGTCAGGATGCCCTGAGCTTGCTGCCACAGCCTCACGCATCCACCCGTGGCCCACACGCTGTGGATGTGGGAGTTGAGTCGGCCACTGCGTGGGACCTGCGCATACCCATTTCACTGGTTACAGGAATCACAGCATGGAGTTAAATACTATGCAGATTCTTTTTGTACTCAGGGAGCTGGGCTGGGCGGTGGGGGTGGGGTGCTCCTACGCAAGCTAAGTTGAATGTATTTATGAGCCCCTCAGTATCTGCACTTTTCAATCGGAGAAGAGAGGAAACCAAACTGGTCACCAGCTAGAGAGATTTTCCTATTTGCCCTGCTTCGGGTTTCAAGCTCACTCTTTTTTTTCAGAGTCTGCAACTGGACACATTACACAGCTCACTCGAGGGGATGTTTATGCAAACACGCAGCCCCTGTGACCAAAGCAAAGCCATGGAAGGTCCAAGAACTGAGACACATCTTGTGGACCGTTGGATAACATTCCCCCTTTGCTGACCCTTATACATTTCCTCTGATGAGAACACACCAGCGCTGTCCACCGAGAAGGCTCAACTCGCCTCGGCCCAAGGTGGAGGCGAGCCAGGGCCACGGCTCAGCTCCCAACAGTGTCGGAAGCCAGGACAGAGCCTTCACTGCCGGTCCTGCCTTTCTTCCTCTCCCTCCAAACCGATGCCCACACCCTCTCCCAACCCCCGTAATTGCTGACAAAGGGACAATAGTTCATACCCATCCTTTTTGTAAAACTCCAGCATCATGTTGTCCGTGGCGACGCTGAGGGGCCGGCGGACCTGCTCGGGCTGGCGCCGGTCAGCAGGGTCCATGTCTGGGGAGGGCATGGAGCTGTAGTTGGCGTTGTGGTTCACGTGCACTGGGCTCCCATAGTTGCCTGTGATGTTGAATTCGATCTCTGCAGGGGGTAGAAAGAGTTGGAATATGGAGTACCCCTTGGAGACATCACCCCCTTCCCTGGGCAGAGCTGGCTTCTTTTGTTGTTGGTCAAATGTTTATTTTGAATTTTTGAATTGTGTGGTACAATTTCATACGGAATGGGATTTCCCTTGCTCCCTGCAAGACTCCACCCCCGACTGATTTTCCCCCGTGTTGCTACAATAGTATAGTCCTTCATAAGAAGTCATAATTCCATCATTCTGTTATTTAAGTGTGCTCCGACAATTGCTGATACAGACAACGTCAGACAGTCTGGCATCCCATTGTCTATACATGTCCAACAGTTTCACTGGGAGTCCATCTTTGATTTGGAAGCAGGGATGCATGTTGCATTGTACCCCCACATCAGGATATGGCAGTCTCTATTACTCCATCACTGTACATTCCCTTAAATGAGAAGCCACAAAATAAGGTCAACAACTAGTATGTATTAGAGCAACAATAACGCCACCACCAAAATTACAGCACCATGGAGTTGCAAAAAAAAGAACCGCGTACTGAATAACCCACATGTGGGTGACAAAAGGAAAACACAAAAGTCTCTTGGGTAAAATGATGCCAGCGTGTAATCCATGAGCCCAGAGCTGGCTTCTTTCTGCTTCACACCTAGAACACTGCCCCCAGACTGGTAGGCAATCTGTGGCTGTTCATTCACTTTTTGTTTCATTTAATTCATCCTGAAGGAAGAAAGGAATGGAGGGAGGGAGAAAGGGAGGGTCATGAACACCACCTAGCCATCTGCAACGCTAAAGGAAACTTAGTCAAACTGGGACAGATGGGCCCCCTTCTGGAAAAGACAAAACCATCACTCTTCAACTGTTAATGAAACAACCACACTGCTTTCAACCTGGGAACACAACCCTGTTACAGCTACCGGTATTAAACAGTGTGAGAGAGTTGGTAGCCAGTGGAATCAGTCAAGAAAACAAAATCTGAGGCAATATTCAGGAGTGCGTGGGTGACGGTGGTGTCTTTGGAAAACCAAAGATTGGCAGCAGTAACAGATTTCACTGTCAAACAGAAATACAGGCGGAGCGCACCCCTCCCTGGGTCCATGGCAACGAACCAACCCAGCACCATCCGGTCTGCAGCGGGAATGACTTGGCTCAGCTGCAGAACCCACAGAATTGCCTGCCTTCCCCTCCTACCTCGTGTACTTCCTACTCTCCACCCTCTCCCAGCTTCATCCACAGAACTCTAGGCCAGCCTTTCACAGCTGTCTGTCAAACGAGAAAGCAAAAGGGAGAGAAAACCTCAACGCTGGATTCAGCATGGACTGACTGCCTCTGATGGACACTGCACAGCATTAGCGTGCCATCACAGCCAACAGCACACCTTCAAGGTTCACGAAACATCAAGTGCAGCTGTTGTAAGCAAGCATCGAGTTCATTGTCACTGCTTTTGCTTCTTCAAAGCCACTGCCTGAGGGAGCCACAGCCTTATGTCCCAAAGCTTCCGTGGCCACAGAAAGTATGCAAAGCTGTGCAACTCCCTCTTAGGAAGCCGCCTAGACAGCCTTGTGTTGAACCAGGCATGGGAAAGAATCCCATGACTTGTCAATGAGTGCCAAACTCAAGCACCTTTACATGCTGGTATGGGCAGGAGGATGCTCTCGGGACAAGTGGAGCAGAAAAGACAGTGTCTAGGTGAGGCACGAGCCCTGAATCAAGTTCCTATCCACCTCAGCTCCTGGCTTTGGTCCATGTTTGCTCTAAGCAGGGGAGTCTCTTCTTTGCCACCACTTGGAGATGGGTGGTGTGGCCCACAGATCTCCGCAGTGGGAGAAAGACTGGGAATATGGGGCACCCCTTGAAGATGTCACGCTACCCCCTCTTTCCGGGCAGACCAGTGGACCCCAGAGCTTTGGGCTGCCACAGATGGTGGACACTTTTAGGCCAGAAAGTCCCTCAAAACTTAGAGAGGAGGGCGCTGACTTTACCATGTTAACTGGGCGCATGTGCACTCATGGGTTTTGTGTGTGTGTGTGTATGTACACGGGCTTACATGTCTGGGAAAACAAAGCAAAACACCATTTGCAGGGCAGCAGTTCTAGGCTGCCACCATTCAGAGCTCCCAGTGCCATCCCTGCCTCCCACCTCTGGATGTCACCACGTACCCCCAGGGAAGAACCAATCCGCGTGCTGGATGATGGGTTCGATGATTCCCACAATCTGCAGTGACACGGTGGTCATCATCTCCGTGATGTTCCTGTGGGCACAGGCAAAGGAGAGGGCAGGTGAGAGGCCGCTGGAGCCTGGAACCCCACAAACCTTACAGGAGAGCCGCTTTCCCCTTGGGCAGGATCCGGTCCCTTGCTGAACGCCCGTCTTCCTCCTCTGCGGCATGGGGCAATCCCAGGAATGCCTCTTGAGCGTGAGGCGAGAGTCTCCTCATGGCCAGCTCATCCTCCTTCCAGCCCGCTAAGTCCCCATGCAGGTATGGGTCTGCCCTCTTCACACCGAGCGTGCAGTGCCTGCAAGAGCTGGCCTGCATTGTCCCATTTCCTTTCTCTTCTTGACTCAAGACGGGCTCAGAGAAGGTCCTTCTCTTAGTTAGCCCTGTGTGTGGCTCAGGCTATTGGTAAGGAAGACCAACACAATTTGGAGCCTTCTTTCTCAAGCTAACATCACAGCAAGCCTTGGCAGGCACAGGACGTGAACAATCAATGAGGTTGGCAACGACGGGAGTCCCAATCCCTCCTGCAGGTCCACCTGCATAACCTCCTCGACAGTACTCACCCTTCTGCTTGTGGCCATAACAGGTTGGGTCCTAAAACGATAGCCATGTTGCTGGGTGTCATCTTGTTTATATCTTGGTATTCTGACAGCTTAGATAAAAACTTGATCAAGTATCTGAAAGGAAGTGAGAGGGGGACAGATGGATTTACTTGCTTGTTTTTCATTGAGAGCTTTAAAAGATTTATTTTTTTGGAAAAGGCAGATATACAGAGAAAGAAGGAGAAACAGATCTTCCATCTGCTACTTCACTCCCCAAGTGTCCACAATGGCCGGAGCTGAGCTGATCTGATCCGGAGCCAGGGGCTTCTTCTGGGTTTCCCATGTGGGTGCAGGGTCCCTAAGCTTAGGGTCATCCTCTACTGCTTTCCCAGGCCACAAGCAGGAAGCTGGATGGGAAGTGGAGCAGCTGGGACACAAACCAGTTGCCCATATGGGATCCCAGCTTGTGTGAGGTGAGGACGTTAGCCACTAGTCCACTACGCTGGGCCCCTCATTAAGTTTTTTTTTTTGTTTTTAATGTATTTCAAAGGTAGAGATAGGGGTATACATGGAGAGTGACAGAAAAAAAGATCTGCCATTATCTGTTTCCTTATGCCCACAACAACTGGGGCAGGACCAGCTCAAAGCCAGGAGCCAGAAACGCTATTCTGGATCTCCCCTGTGGGAGCCATCACCTGCTCTACTTCCAAGCAAAAAGCAGAAAGCTGGAATCAGAAGCGGAGCTGGTGGGCCCTGAACTTGGGACACTGTGACATGAGATACAGGGGTTCCAAATGGCCTCTTAACCCCTGTTCTTAATGTCCACCCAGGAAGGGTTAAGCTAACCAACGCTCAACGGCACCTGTGTTCCCAGAGGTAGTGAGAAACTTTCCCCCTTTAGTGCAACTCATTGACAAGATGACCCATGTAGCCTGTGATTGCAGGGGGACATAAGCAGCAGCTGCTGGAATATGGAAGTTCTGCATCCCTTTTCCAAAAAGGACAGACAGACCTGTCTCTTGTCCAGTTAGAGGTCAACATCTGCTTTACTGAACCCTGGCCAGAAAAATCTGCCTATTTCCTTTGGATGTAGTATGAGAGGTCTTCAAATTCCTCCCTCTTTCTGAGCGCGGGTATCTGCCATACTCCCTGTGTATGGAGGCAAAAAGCCAAGTGTCTGTCTCTCCTGCAGGGACAGCCACGTGCTAGGGGCGGTGTCCTCTGGCTTGCTGGAAGGATCTAATGAAGAAGTGTTCAAAGAGATTTAGTACAGGGGCCCAGCGAGTCTGCTCCTAAGAATTCACTCAATATGCCCTGCTCCCCACAAACTTGTATGTGAACATCCACGGCCGGATTCAAAACAGCCAGAAGGAGCAGACCACCCACATGCCCACCAACGGATGCCCGGATAAGTAAGAAATACTACTCAGTCACAGCAAGGGACAGAGTGCTCACACAGCCTGGCCCATGGATTGCAAACGTTAATGCTAAGTGAAATGAGCCAGGTGCCAAGAAGCCACACATCTTATACCCTGTGTGGGGAGTGTTCAGAATGGGGAAATCTGTAGAGGCTGAAAGATGAGTGGCTGGCTGGGCTGGGCTGAGAGAAATGAACAGCGACTCTTGATGGGAGTAGATTCTTCTGAGAGTGATGACAATGTCCTAAGATGAGGCAGCAGTGATGGTTGTCAATACCATCAATACACTGAAAGCTACCAAGTGGAATACTTTCAAATGACACAAGGGCAGGTGCATTACAATGACTTTTCCAGAGTGCTGGTGACCAAAAGACCCTATCTTGCTTGGCTCATGCTTGAAGTCATTCCTTTGGCAGGTTCTAACTCCTCTTCCATCAGTCCAGCAGACAGAGAACCAGAGTCGGGCTCTGTCATGCCATCACTTGCCTACCACCATGCCACCTTTGCCTGCCCTGGCTGTGATTCACCCGTAAGGGGTCAAACAGCACTGGATAGGAATATGGGACTATGCTGATGCGCTGACTAGCCAGTGGTCCAGGGCTGGGATCACCAGCGTGCAAGGAGTTGCATGGATTGCATTTCCGCTCTTGGTTTTAATTTAGTTGTTTATTTATTGATTTTATGTTTGATGATGTTTACATAATTGAGAAGAATGCATGCGAATGTGGACTACTGATTAAGGTGGGAAGGGTTGAGGATTAAGCAAAAGTGGATGAGACCCTTGTTTCCAATTTTTGTTTTTCTTCTCCCTGGATCTGTGGGAAGAGGAAAGATACGGGGAGAAGCCTCACACAGCCTCAGTACCCAGGGATGGGGGACGGCCACCTGATGTCATCCCAGGGTGTGCAGCATGCTCCAACAACACTGCTCAAGTGGTTTCAATAGTTCTGAGATGTTCTTAATTTTGATTTCATTGCTCCAAGGTTGAGAAAATCCTTCCAAGGTCTACTGGCTGATGCAGTCTACCTTAGATTCTCCATTTGCCTAAATATTTGCTGTCAACATTTGGTTGGGGTAGTTGTCCAATTTGTTCTGCTCTTCATCCTCTGCTCTGGCACCCACAAGCCCTCTACAGGTCCCAATGGACTGCCATATCCTCTATGAGCATTTGAGCATGCTGTCCACTGCTCCATCTTAGCCACTGAGCAGGCCCAGTTCTGACACAAGCACTCCACAATCAGACCATAGAGCCTGCCTTTTTCCCCATAGGAGGAATTCTGATTTTGGTGGTTCAACTGGGGGGATTCCCAAAGAAACCTCTGAGGTGATCCCAGACCTGACTCCCGTGTGTGCCAGCCAGTATGGGGACCAGCTCAGTCTGTCACCCACATCAGCCTACACACATACTGGTGGTTGCAGTTGCTGGGTCAGTTCTGTCCCAAGCCCCACCTCTTACGCAAACCAATGGATACTGCGGTCCTGCTCAATCCTGCTCACCACACACTTGGCCCTCACAAACACTAGCAGGAACTTCAGCCTAGTCAGAGAGACCCCCAATAACTCCCACCAGGCCTGCCTCAGCGCTGGTTATTATGCATGGTGGTATGTGCAGCAGACTGGTCCATTCAGCTCTCATACACATCAATGGGCATTGGAGCAGAGCTCAACCCAACTGACCCCACTACTCAGCCCACATTCATGCTGGCAGGAGACACTGCCTGTCTATCCAGGCCCACGCCTAGCCTTGGTTCTCATGCTCAACCAGGGGGAGTTGCAAACCATCAAAGAAGTACCCAGTTTCCCTGCCAGGCCTGCTCCCAGTCCCAGATCTTGTACTTTCAAGATGGTCCTGTAGTCTGCCTTGACAGGACTGGTCCACAGTACCAGGACTTGCCAGCTGAGGCTGCGGCAAAGCCCCAACCAGCCTGCATGCCTGGCTCTCCCCCAACCCAGTTCACATGAAGGCCAACAGGTGTTGTAACGCTGCCTGGCCTCATCTGTCCCTAGTCCCATGCTCATGCTCACCAGGAGGAGGAGTGGTCCAGCAGGGAAGTCCACTGCTCACCTACAGGGCTTACAGCCCCCTGCCCTAGCTCTCATATGTGCTGGTGGGTGCTGCTGCCCAGACCGGCATGACCCACCTCACCTTGGCATTTGCTGGTGGGTACTGAAGCCTAGCACAACCCAACCAGCCCCGAGTCCCGGCTGTAACGTGAACTGGCTGGTGCTGTGGCCCAACCTGGACTATACTGCACTCCATCTTGGTTCTCACATCTACCAGTGAGTGTTATGAACTCGCCCAGCCTGGCTTGTCCCCAGACCTAACCCACACACGTGCTGGTGGGGTTCCATTTTTTTATTTGGGATAAAATATCAGGTGATGGGTCAGTGGCATTGAGTACGTTGACACTGATACCATCAGTGCTCCATTCACCTAGAAACTATTACTAGTAGTATCAATAACAGCATCAGTGCCAATGGAGCATAACTCCCCCGCTTCCCCTCCTCTCCCGGGTCCTGGCAACCATCAACTATCATTTCTGTCTCTATGAACTTGACTACTCCAGGCATCTCACATAACTGGAGTCAGGCGCCATTTGTCCTCTCTGTGTCTGGCTTCTTTCACTCAGCATAGTGTGCCCACAGTTCATCCACACAGGAGCAAGAATCTGAATCCTACAGCCATCATCCAAGGTGCATCCACGGTACGTTTTGATTATCCACTCACAGACATTGCCGTTGCCAGTGATCAGTGCTGCTATGAAGACTAGTATTTACCCAACTCCTTGCTTCCGCTTCTTCCAAGTCTACACCCAAAAGAGGCAAATCTACATGGAAATTTTGGAGTTAATCAGGTAGATGGCATCAGGCGCACAGGATGCAAATCTGCATCCCTGAGCAGCATGGAGGAGAAGTGGCACAGGGTCAGAGGGGCACCGGCGAGGTGAGGTAATGGGGGAGCGGACAGTGCAGAGCCCCAGAAGCCCAGGGTACGAGGGAGATCTGCAGAATGGCAGGAAAAAAGAGCTCCGGTGGGACAGGACCAGTGCGAGGCAGACACAGGGAGAAGAGCTGCGTCTCACGAATTGACGGGCAGGACAATCTTTTGGCCTCAACTTCCTGTGGTCAAACTCAAGGACAACCTGTCTCTGGTCCAGTGCTGATCAGCTTCTCCCAGGAGCCCATGAGCACCTATGTTTACCATAAATCCCTGGTACCCGTAAGGTAGGTGTCAATCACTGCTCCTTGCAAATCAAGGAATTTAGGTGGCCCCTGGCAGGCAGTTGGGCAAAGCCTTGAAGTCTTGTGGCTTCTCAGAGTTTCCTATCTCTGAAGGTTGTTGGAGGTCGAGACCATGATTTTAAAACAATACCCTGGATACTTTTTAAAGCGCTGGGCATGCTGGTTGCCATGACTTTGAGCTAGGAAATCAGGGGTTAAATCAATCTACTCACCGGATGTTGTTGTGATTGACCTTGGGCAATTTTTCACAAGCATTCCACAGAGCCTGAAGCCTCTTGTCTTGCTCCTGGATACTGCAAAATTGATAGAAAAAAAAAATGAAATATTTATTTCTTTACGTTCTTCAGAAGGAAAAGCAACACAGCAGGAGAATCAGAAAGATACTCCATCTACTGGTTCACTCCCCAGATGGCTGCAAGGGCCAGGGCTGGGTCAGACTAAACCCAGAAACCAGGAATTCCATCTGGGTCTCTCAGCGGGCTACAGGGACTCAACTGTTTGGGCCATTTTCCCATCCCTTCCCATGTGCATTAACAGATGACTAGATTGGATGTGCAACAGCCAGGAATCAATCGGGCAGTGACAGGGATGCTGATGTTGCAAGTGGCATCTTTAACCCACTGCACCACAGTGCTGGCTCCATATCAGTAACTGTAATATTTGGTAAGAATCTAACCATTCTAACCAGTCAATTCTTTTTTTTTTAAAAGATTTATTTTTATTATTATTTTTTTCATTGGAAAGGCGGATATACAGAGAGGAGAGACAGAGAGGAAGATCTTCCGTCCAATGATTCACTCCCCAAGTGAGCGCAACAGGCCGATACTATGCCGATCCAAAGCCAGGAGCCTCTTCCGGGTCTCCCACGCGGGTGCAGGGTCCCAAAGCTTTGGGCCGTCCTCGACTGCTTTCCCAGGCCACAGGCAGGGAGCTGGAAGGGAAGCAGGGCTGCCGGGATTAGAACCGGCGCCCATATGGGATCCCGGGCGTGCAAGGCGAGGACCTTTAACCACTTGCGCCACCGCGCCGGGCCCTAACCAGTCAATTCTTATTAAAACTCATGGTTGTTATTTTCCCCTGTCTTCTCATCTTATCCAGTGCTATTTCAACTGTTTTCTTTGCACAGTTCCTATGCCCTAGATGAACTCAGGCCAGGGTTAGCAGGTCAGAGCAGGAGGGCAGAGGCTGGGGTCATCTGAGAAGACAGGACACTGGTCAGGTAGCCCACCTCTTCTGCTGCACACAGCAGAGGCAGCCTGCCATTCTGCTTGATGGATGTTATCTGCAGCATAGCCAGCTCCTGGACAGCGGTCCAGGGAAGGGGCGTGGCCATCACTTGCAACCTCTATCAGCTGGCAGCCTGGGTGCGGGCACAGGTCCTACCCAAGGAGAGAAGCACCCTCCACATGCCCTGTCCTGCCAGCCTCCCTCGACTCCTGGGCTTTGTTCTTGACCAAGGTTTCCACCTAGGGTGGGCTCAGCCTTGGGAGAAGTGGATGACACCCAGAGCCCTCAGGTTATGTGCCCTCATGTTATATTGGTTAACTGGTATGAACTTATACCTGATGATTACAGACAAGGGTCAAGACCCCAGAGCTTCTTCCTTGTCCTACTCTGCCCCCCGAAACAATTGCTGCCACATATTTGCCTTTTCGAACCCTTTCTAAGCCCTCTTTCATCTCCTTACAGTCAGAAGCTCCCCGAATTCTACACTTTTGAGTGAGAAATGGGTGCCAATTTTTCCTTTCATGACCAGGAGAGGATTTCAGGTGTCTCCATTAAGTTGCTTTATTTCACTCAACAAGAAATGCCAGGGCACTGCCACATTAGCATGTCTAGTTTAACTTTTTACTTTCTTCAGACTACTCCATGGTGTGGACACAGCAAGGTTTATGTAGTCATGCCCATATTCCTTGCTAAAGAACCCTTAGGAATGTCTACGCTTCTGTTCTCCCAAATAATGCCACAGTAGATAACCCAGCATGCCCCTCGTTCAGCACACGTGCAAGCATTCCTTCATGGTGGATGCTGAGAGGTGGGTAACATAATCGATACTGATGGTTTCCCATGTCCATGCATTCTACGCCCACAGATTCAACCAACTGCAGATCACTTTCTAGGTAGTCATGCCTAGGATGGTTGTGTCTGCATGAGTCATATGAACTTTTTCTTGCTATAATTCCCCTCTATTGTGTTATACATTGTGTCGGGTATAAGTCCTCCAGATTTACAAGCACACAACAGGTTGTGTGTTAGCTCTAGGCCAACTCTACCCTGTTTCGTATCAGGGACTTGAGCAGTCATGAACCGCAGTGTAGACACGGGAGGATGACAACCGTACTTTGAAATACTCTTGAACTTATAAGATGCTCCGACACTCACTTGGAAGCCTGGATCCACTCGTCATAAAGCTCAAAGGTCATAAGAGGCTCTGGTAACTCTCGGAGGTAAGATTTCAAAGCTCCTGGGAAGGAACACAGCACTGACCGTAAGACATCAGGACCTGGCAGACGAGTCCAGACAGCACACAGTACTTGTATGCATTCTACCAGGGTCAGACTCTCCCCACCAGAAGAGTGGCTTCCCATGTGAACAGACCCAGGGCTCTGGCTGGCCTATGTGGGTTGACCACAGCATTGGCCTTCCCCTTCCCACCCTTGCACCACCTCTTCTTCTCTCTGCATGCTTGGGGGACAGCTTGGTCTAAGCAAGCCTGAACCTAGGTCTATGGGTGGACATGTCCGGCAAGTGTCAGGGAGCCACTGACCCGAGCATCCCCGTTGGGGCTGTTGCCCCTGCAGCTCCCCTCTGCAGCCCTCAGGAAGTCCTCACCCGGAGCATGTGCAACTCACCTGCGATGGCATGGGGGTCTGCCGAGTACTCCTGCACGTCCACTACACAGCAGTCCAGAGCCGCTTTCAGCTTCTTCAGCTTGGAAGCAGAGGGGGCGACGCGGAAGAGGCCCTGCCCAAAGACAGAGGGCCTGTGACTCCTTGCAACCCATGGCACAGGAGCCAGTTACTAACCCAACTCCAACGTGTACTTTGTCTTTCCTGCTTTCTAAAGGTTTTCCCCTTCCAATATAAGCAATGGCTAAGGAAGAAGTGGGTTTACTATAGGGTCCCCAGATGCTAGGGGAGGGTTGGTTCACCCTACTGATTTGGCATTTGTTGGATCAATGAACCCTGGGCATTCAGACTTTTTATTCTTATACATTTCAGTGAATTTTTAAAATTTACTCCAAATGTCAAGTCGGAGACAGGGACAGATAGATTTTTCACCTGTTATTTTAATCCTCAAGTGCCTGCAATGATGGAGGCTGAAGTAGGAGCCTGGCTGGAACTCCGTATGGGTCTCCCACATGGATGCAGGTGCCCAATTACTCGGGCCATCTTCTGCAGTTTTCTCACAGCGCATTAGCAGGAAACTGATTGGAAGTGGAGCAGCTGGGACAAAAACCTACCATTTATATGGGTTGTTGACATTGTAGGAGGTGGCTTAATCCACTGTGTTGTGTGACACTGGCCCCACTGAGTTAATTCTTGAAAAAGGATTTGACTGATACCTGGTAAGATGTGGGAGTCTGGTAGTTTGCACGAAAAGGTGTATGTGTGTATGTGTGTTGTGAGAAACCACGGATACACCTTTAGAACCAATTAAAACCTATATCCTCAGGGGAAGTGCAGACATGGGGTGAGGGGAGAGGGGGTGAGGCAGCTTCCTTCCGTCCCTCTATTCTTACTTACTTGGGAGTTGCTACCAGCCAGCCCAACTGCAACAAGCATTCCACAGAGCAAAAGCAAGCCTCAAAGAGAAAACACAGAGGAAGAGAAAGGAAGGCTTGGGCAGGTCGGAGCTAGAAAGGATCCTCCAGCTGATCAGCTTTTGTTTTGGCCTCTTAGCTCCTGGACTTCTGTGTTGCAGCCCACAGACAGGGAGACCAGCTGCAAACACCCCTTGCTCATTTCATGTTTTATGGCCATGGACATGCGCACTTTCAAGTTGCTTTAAGAGGAAATGGTCCTGCAAATTTGGGGTATTGCAACGATGGTTAATGCCTTCCTCAATATGGGGTAAGTCAGATCAATGGATGCCTAAAGGGTTTCATGGAACCTGAGGGGTGTGCACTTTTTCTCTTGTCCAGGCTAAGATCACGATGTTGCAGACGACATTCTTTTCCAGGCTAGGGGCCACCTGAGTATAGCTGCTGGTAAAGGGAGCGTGGATGCAAAGTACGGAAAAAGGCCAGGGACAGGAAGAGGTTTGGCAAGAGGTGGAATGATGGGAACTGCAGAGTCAGCAGAGTCAATGGAAAAGCTGGGGAAGGTCCGAGTCCACTCTTCAAGAACAGGTGCACACCAGCCAGTATGGCAGTTATCCTAAAACCCCGTTGCTATTTTGCTCAAAAATAAGGTCATACTGTTTTTTAGTGTATGTGCTTCTGAAGGGCACACCATAAGATCATATTTTACAAACAGGGGGTCTTCCTATCTTATGGATACACATGGCAGTATTATCAGTGAAATGATGGACTGTCTGGAATCTGCTTCACTGAATTCCACTTAGAAAAGAAGGGCCAGAAGAAGGAGAAAAAGCGGAAAGAAGACAGACTACAGCCTGGGGTGAGGCTCAATGATATCTTCCCGTGCTTAAACAGAGAAGGGTGGGGCAAGAGGAGGCATGGTCGCCACCCTCCACCAAGTCTCCCTCTCAGGGACTGCAGGGACCTTCTCATTGTTAACATTGATTACCAATATGAAAATGCCTTGATACATACAATGTGATCCCCACAAGTCCACAGAACACAAAGATCACATCTAACCCCATTCCTTTGGGAAGGTCCGGGACCTGGCACAGGTGTGGTCCATGGCAAGTAGTCAACACATATCCCTTTCCAGCCCAGAGGCTGTCCATCTGAACCAGTGCTGACTCAAGGACGGACGGCCTATTTACGATGTGTCAGGCTACCGGCCAGACTTTCCCCAGCAAGGTCCTGAGACAGCACCCTCTTCCTCTCTCCTGCAGCTCACTGCGTCAAATTCTGCTCAGTCATTGATGCATAGCATACCGAAATAAACACGCTGACTGAGCAGATTAAAGGAAGATGGAGTGAAGATGCTAAAATACCCTCTGGGAGGAGGACGTGATTCCCACAGTCACAGAATAACAACTGCTACCCATTTGTCCCAGGGCCTTTCATACACGCAGCTCTGAATATGTGCCTCTTGTATTGCTATTAGGTCTATTTCAGGCTCTCTGTGAGAGGTGTTATCAAGATGACGTAGAACTCCATTTTGAAAATTAGGGAACTTACTGAGCGAGAGAATCAGAGCAGCAGTAGCAGGAGGACAGAAGGAAGAGAATAATGGAAGGAGGGGAAGGAGGAATAGAATGAGCAAGAGACTCAGGAGGAGCAGCAGCAGGTGGAGGTGGACGATTAGGAGGAAGAAAAGGAATGGAAGGGGGAGGGGAGCACAAGTGGTAGGGCAGCCACAGGAGCAGCATACGAATCCTACGACCATGTCAGATGTGCAGAAAGCTAACCATGCTTATAATCATCAACATGGCCAGATGACACTGCTCTCCCATAGTCGTCCACTCTCCCTGTAAAAGTGGAAGCTCAAGGACACAAAAGCACTTGCAGGAAAGGGCTGTGCCAAAGGCTACAGTAGCCCACGTGTGGCTTCCCAGGGCCAGGGAACGGGGATGACACCAGGGAGACGGGCTCTGTGGGGACCAGCTGGGCTGAGCTCACACCCACCTCTTCTTGCATCCCACACTCGAGCAGCATGGTGACGCAAGCCTCGATGGGGAAGGCGATTTCCCGGCCGCTGATGGTCAGGTGCTCCTCCAAGGGCTTCCCGAAGGATGGCTTTTCCACCCAGGCCTCTGGGGAGGGGGAGGAGACAGCAGTGAGAAAGGGCTGGTCAGGAATGGGAACAGCTCACCCAGGCTAGAATCTACCCTTCCTCCTGTCCTCGGATCCTCCTGAGGCCTCCAGGGAGACGCAAGTCCAGGCGAGCCGCCACTCTTGTGATCTGTGGAGAGCCCACCAGCCATGTGTAGGGTCCCCATGCAGGGATGGTGTGTGTGAGCAAGAGTGGCTGCACCAGACCCTGATCAAGACACCTGTCTGTGAAGTTTCGGCAGCTCACGGAACCCTGGCTATGTGGGGCAGAGCCTCAAAGTGCACAAACTCCAAGGAGCCACTGTGCCCCAGGGAAGGCAGGTCGGCTGCCAGCCCTCTCCACTCTGGGGAAAGTCTGCACTTACCCTGTTGTGCTTTTATCTGGGGCAATACAGCCTGCAAGAGCGTCAGGGACTTCCTGTGGTATTCAGCTTGCACTTCGATGAGCTGAGGAAATGCAATGACAAGCATTAGCCTTCACAGAAGAGCAGCAATGTATCAATGCAGCAATGCAGACAGTGTCCTGCATGTGGGAGCTTACAGTCATGGGGACAAAGAGGGGGGAGGAGGGTTTGGAATTCCAAGCTCCCTCCTCCAATTGGCCTAACGTCATAAGGATGCTTCCTCTTTAGCCTCCATAGCGGTGCAATGGGAATGCGGAATGGAGGCAGGGGACGGGAGTGTGGTTTCCTGAAGACTAAGAGAGTGCTCCCTGGAGCAAGAGCCTGGCTTGGCAAGCTTTGCCTCTACCACCACCCACCCATCCTTCTGGCATTCCGAGCTCAAAGTAAAAGGCAATAAAGAAGGTGCAATCATAGGAGCCACACAATGGAATTGAGCGATTCACCTGCCTGCACGAGACGGATGCCTCGGCCTCTGCCAAGCTCCCTAAACACAAAACTGATCAGAATCTACAGCTCAGTGCACACTCTACTTCCCATCCTTTACAGGTGGAACTGCTATGGCCACAGTGAAGGGTGGTAAGAACAGATGAAACTCAACAGACAACAGTAGGCACTCCATGTAGTTTCTACATCTCTTTCTGGCACCACTCCCCCAACGTGGACATGTACAAGGGGAGTGGAGAGAGAAAGAGTGGAAATGGGTCGGCAGGATGGACACTTCTAGCCCCAAGTAAAACTACAGTCTTTTTCAAGCAAGAAATTGGAATATTCAAATACACAAAAGCCACTCAGCAAGTCCATGGGAGTTTGGCATAGGGACACTTTCATTAGTTTCAGAAACAGATTACAAACAAAACTAACCAAACACATGTGGATGAATACCCTTGTTTCAAAATGCACACTCTAAGTCGGGAGCCACAGGAGTCAGTTCTCTTCTAGACCTGAAGGGTCTCCTGTACCCCACTACCAAACATACTAGGAAAGCTGCAACTGGTCTACCGCTGTATCCTCAGACTCAATGAGACAGTGAAGACTGGGCAACCTCCATCTTTCCCGCTTTGTAACTTACTGGTTTGCCCACACTCTAACCAAAAAGAATGTACAGGTTGTAAACTTTTAGTTTCAACTTAAAAAACAGGTGAGTGTAAGGATTTTTTGAAAAAATTGTATTTGTTCTTTTCTTCTGCCAACTTTTGTTTGTTGTTCTTTGCTTTTACTTCCTTTACCTTTATCTCCATGCTAATCATCTGGACCAGATTACTGAAGTTTAGTAAGACTTGGATCTTGGGTCTCCTGGTTTCTCTATTTGCTCTATTTTCCACAGATATAAGGCAGGAAATCAGGCCCCACCAACCACTGCTCACCTACCTGTCACTGTCTTTGACCAAGAAAAAAAAAATCAAGATGAAACATACATGATGAGGTTGGGGTAGACACCATCTTGTTTTTCTCTTTAAGTCTCCTGCTATCCTAAACCATGGCTTCTCACCATCCCCCCTCGTGATTCTTGGGGGCCAGACAATGCTTGGGGTAAGGAGCTGTCCCATGTACTGTAGGATGGGAATTAGCATTCCTGTGCTGTACGTATTAGATGCCAACAGAATTTGCTCCCTGGTGGTGACTATCAAAGCCAGCTCCATGGGTTGCCATGCATGGGTCCCCTGCAAAGAGGGGCTCAGCCTGAGCTCCTGGCAGGGAACCACAGCCCAGTTAGCAGAGCTCAATCCTTAAGGACGGATGGGGGTTTCTCCTTAGGTTTTGCATGAAATTCACACAAAAAATCAGAGATGGCAGGACGCAGTTACAGGTCACAGCCAGAGTGAAACTATCCCATCGCTCAACCACTGGTCCCCAAGTCCTTGCCTCGATTCCTTTCCTGTCGGCCCGCATGACTCTTAGGAAAGGCTTTACCGCTCTGCATCCTTACCGTTTGAAAGTAGTTTGCATAGTCAATTTCTTTGGCCACAAAACTGTACATGTCAGCAGAGAGCTGGTCCTGTGTGAGAGAAGACACAACCAAGGTGGAACATGACACAGAGAGGCTAGCATAGGAGAATAGACATCATGGAAGAAGAGCCACAAAAGGCTGCTTCATCTCATTTTTTCTGACTCTTGACATGTTGCAAACTTCCCCCCTCCACCCCACCCCAGGCACCTCCATCTTTTCCATTCATGGCTCTAGACAGTAAGTTGACAAAGAACATCTAATGCCAGGGATTCTACCAGGGAGGGCATGCTTAGTGTCACAGACAAAGCCCTTGCCCATCCCGCACACACACATCTGTGTGGGTTGTACCACCATCTTGAAGCAAGCCCCGACTGGTGCTGCTACCTCTACTATGCCTTTCCTTTCCATTGATTATATTCTCCAGCCCTGGCCTTCATTGTCAACACTCAGACTCATTACAAACACGAGCGGAAGAGATGGAAACTCTTACTGGAAGGAAGCTCATAGGACAGGAGTGTACCCAGAGAAATCTGTGGATGCTGAACCTGGAAAAACTCTGGATTCATCCAATATCATACCTGGACCTCACAGCCTTTATAAACCCTACACCATTCAGTTTCCATGGGGTCAAAAGTGGCTATGACCCAACACTGCATTGGAATCTGGAATGTTCTGTCCCCTCTAGGTGGCAGTTGGCAGTTCCGTGGAGACATCTATAGCATGGGATGCACAGTGTCACTAACTGTATTTCTGAGCATGTCCCTGCTTTGTACTTGTTTGCACAAGTCACAGGCTCTCTAAGGTTCTTCCCTGTTGGGTGGGCCTGGGCTGGCTGTCCTGCATAGAGATATTCTGTTCAGGATGAGAAGGACGTACATGACAAACAGCACAGGAAAGTCCCTGCAGATGCTGGATGAAGGAGCGTGAGCCAGTACATGCTTCAGGAAGAACCTGTCCAGGCAACATCAACCCCATCTCCCTAGCTTCTCCAGGTGCCAAAGAAGTCAAGTTTCAGTGAGAACACTGGGACACGCAGCAGCCATCTGCTTCCTTTCCAGCACCCATGACAGGAAAGCAATTGCTGGGGACATTATCTGAGAGTCCTCTGGGCACAAGACAACAGAACTGAAGGAGGAAGTCTGTTCACTGCAGAGCTCAGCACACAGATTCAACAATGCTATGGCTCAATCAGCTGTGGCAGAGAATGAAGACTGAGGAAAAGCAAATGGATCACTGAGAATAGTCTGCCGGGCACAGTGTCTCCAAGAACACCAGCCTCACTCTCACAAGTTAGTACTTGGGAGTAGCAGGCCACTAGAGTTCAGGGACAGTATCTGTTGACCAAGTCTCCCAGACACTTAGCACAGTAGGAGCTTATGCAAGACTTGCTGAATGAACAATAAGAACACCTGAGGCTCAGAGATGCTGAATTTCCCGAAGGGTAAAATGGGTTCAAGACCACACTTCACCACCACATCCTCTCTCCAGCGGATGCTTTCAGATCAGAGGAAGTCGGAGAGAGTGGTCTGGTCTGGATTCAACCACCATACTGGTAGCAGCTCTGTTCTGGAGACAGCCATCACCAGCCTGGCAGTTGGGAGGGATGAGGTACAAACTGGGTGGGTTGGAGGATGGAACAAAGAGGAGAGGAACGGTGAGACTCTGAAGGTGCAGGGGCTACAGCCAACACACCTGCTGCGTCCCATCACCTGAGCCATCCCTACAGAAGAGCTCGGAAGAGTCTGCACTTGTCCGCAGGAAGACAAACGAATGCCTCAAGACTTCTGATGGAATCATTGTTAAGAGTTAAATATGAGAAAGATGATGATTTGGGACATTCCTGCTTTTAATATAAACTGGCAAATACCCCATCTGAAATACTAACCTGTAAGTATGTAATTTTCTGCAACAACTTTTTTTTTCATTGTTAAATCATTATTAAATCTGAGGGGGTTGCGAAAGTTCATGGGGAAAAAAATGGAAAAAATATGATTTTTCTGTGTACTTTTTGAAGTTCTATCACACACAAAGGGGATTTAAAGAATAAACTCATAATTTCAGTCGTATAAATCTTTTGCCTCTTACTAAAAAAAAAACCTCATAATTTATATTTTGCTGATCAAGAGGCTAATTTACTTCAACATTTATCACCAGTTTGCCAACTCCATTTTATTGCCCATTTTCGATTCTTTGTCAACAATGAATACCCATTTTCCTAACGAGTCCTCTCCATATAAGATTTGGAAGAACTCGTTAGCTTGATGAGACTATTGACTTCATCAAATACTGTGAATATTCTCCCCAATTAGCTATTTAATTTTGGCAATCTTATTAATTCTTTGAGGAGCAGTAAAGGATTACTGTGCTTTTTTCCAATAGATTTTCAAACAGCAGCATCCACTAAATTTTTCTTTCATGGTTTCCACCTTTAGTAACAATGCTTAGAGCTCTCAATCAACAATATAAATGTCCACGCATATAAAAGTGCTTTTAAAAACTCAAGGAAAACTTAATTAAGAGTTGAGTTTATTTTGGTGCAAAACTTTCAAAATGTATGCACGTTTCATCAAAGATATTTTCTGTGAACTTTTTCAAGACTCATCACATACGTGATACACATATTTCAAACCTTCTTGTACCAAAAGAAACTTCTCATTTAATCGCATTAAAAAAAAACCCTCATATATTTAGTAAAGAATATATGCAGAGGACACTTGGTACCACAACAGAGGATGGAGGACAGAACAAATCATTCAACTACCCCAGACATGTGCTGGCAGTGAAAATCTGGGCAAACAGAGACTCTAAAGTGAACTATGACAGCCCACTGGATTCTGGAGAGATTTCATCTTGCTTGGAATGGTGAGACTAGCAGCATTTCAGAACTGTTGAACTATCAAAACCACTTGAGCAGTGCCCTCGGAGCATGCCTCACATCGGCGACCTGGGATGGGTGGGAGGCTGAATGGGGCTTCTCCCTTTATCTTCCCCCTTTTCCCAGATACAAGAAAAAAAATAGTAATGTGGAAACAATGGTCTTCCCACTGCCCCCCCCCCAAAAAAAAAAACAAGAATATAAGACTTCTAGGGCTGGTGCTATGAGATAGCACAGATTGTGAGCAAAGCAATCCAGGGTACACTTCTGCCTTGGAGTTGCCACCTTTCCCTGAATTCAGGCTTGGTTTTCCAAACTGCAATGATGATGCAATTGGAAGAAAGTGAAGTGGGAGTGACAAACTAGAAAGAAAGAGAGCATACAAGAGAGACAGCGAAAGAGAGAGAGAGAGAAAGAGAGACAGACAGAATGCAGGGAAGGTGTTTGGACTAGTGGTTAAGCTGCTGACTGCAATGCCCACATCCTTTTTAGAGTGCCTAAGATTTGATGCCCAAATCCAGCTTCCTGCTGGTACAGACCCTAAAAGACAGCAGTGATGATTCCAAGTGCTTGGATTTCTCCTATGTATGTGAGAGACCTAGACTGAATTCCAGGTTCTCAGCTTCAGCTGGAACTGCCCAGCTCCCTGCCACAAATTTGGGGACATAGGGAGAGAACCAATGGACAGGAGTGTACTCCATATATCTATTCATTAGAGAGACAGAGATAAGACAAAGCTAAGTGGGAAATGCACAAATATGTGGGGAGTAAGAAAGGATAAGAAGTGAAGTGATGGGACATGGAGAGACCACAGCAAATGGGATGAAGGGGGGAAGACAGCACTGCCTTCCAGTGGAAAGCTCTAGACCACAGCCAGTGTCCCTCATGAAACACATCTGCCGCTACCGATGTCACACGGATCCATGTCCTCATCGCCATCTTCTCCACATTTACCTCCTGATTCTGTCTCCTCTTACTGGAAAATTGTCAACGCTTAACGCTCCTTGGATAGACCGTGGGTTCAGGGGTTCTGGGGCCTCGGGGTGAAGAGCGGAAGCAAGCACCAGCTGCGAGGACAGGGGCTTGACTCCTTCAAGACCAGAAGGAAAGGCAGAGATTGGGTGGGCTTCGCAAGCAACAAGGCAGCACCTGCCCGTCTGCCTGAGTCTCAATAGGTTCCTTCTTCTGCGACTACCTTACCTGAGTTTCCTGATGATCAGAGGGAGTTCTGGTTGGCCCTCTGTGCACCATTCATGCACCTGCATGGACTCAACCATTCATGCACCTGCAGCCTGATAAGCATCAACCTGCTTGGCTGACTTGCCCTACGGCACAGGGGCCTAAAGACTTGACTGATGAGAAGGTATCAAACCAGTCAACTCAAGGATATCCTGAGAGGAGTTGGGGCAGGAGAAGACCAAGGAAGATGTCGAAAATACTTGACAATTAACAAAGCAGAAATAAGCAAAGTCAGAAGAGAAGTTAAACCAAACCTACACTGGGGTGCTCACAAAGACGCACACCTGGGGCTCCAGTCACTGGGCTGCTGACTACTTGCAAGTCCACACAAGATGGAAGGCACAGACTACCCAAGAGCATTGGGCAAAAGAATGGAGGGATGGCACAAACTAGCCAACAGCACTGGGCAGAAGAACGGAAGGTTCTCTGAGTTGAGACTGCACTTGCTACGAAGTCATTATCACAGAAGCTGTAGTCCCAAGAACAGAACTTCCCCACAAATGCAGAAACATGTGAATGTAAGACTCAGCATCTCACTTCAAGAGGGTAGCTCATTTGATTATTCACCTGAGTTAAGCCTCTGTCCCTCACGCCACGTTCAAAAACACGCTTCAAGTATATTAACATGCACAGGAGTGTGTGACACACATTCTAAATGTTCAAATGAAATGAGAGTGAAAATTCCAGCTTTTGGATGGAAGACCCCTAAGGGGCTCCCCAGGAACTTTTCCCATCCAAAGGAAATACAGGCATACATTACATATTTCCTTATCATACAAATACCAACATGTCATACGTATTTCCGTTGTATGACGAGGAAATACAGGCATAAACAGGAGGCTAAAAACGCACCTGCAGCACATCAGACAGAAACAAGCACAGGATCCCTAATACACAGGTGTTACATAAACAAGACATTCGGTCCAACTGCCAATACCCAAAGGCAGTTCACCAAACCAGGAAGGTCAACACGAAGACCAACAAAATGCATGACCACAAGGAATCCAGTCTGCAGTGTTCGCTGAACCAAGCGGATTGATTAAAAACCAATGCACGAGTTACTAGGAAAATGCTACAGATGGGTGTAGGCTTGTATGATGAAGTGGCCGTTCCACAACTGGCTCCAATGTTTACTTCTCCATCTTTACAACTCTCAGGACTACTCAGCCTGTAACAGGGTATGCTGTCCTAACACACTGTTAATAAAAGACGGGAACTGATCATCTCATTTGGAACCACAGGGGTCGCCGAGCAAGAACAAGGATATTGGTGTTTTCCTTGATGCAGTGTTGCCATTTTTTTCACTGGTTACGATGAGCATGTATTACTTTTGTAATCTCTGAAGAGGAACTGAATATGATTTTTTTGGGGGGCACATAGCAAATGTATGAGGCTACCAAAGAATATATAAACCTACTGAACTTTATTTAAATAGTTACATTCAATATTCTCGCTTTAACATCACCTTCTCTGGTCTACTGGAAAAGGCATTTTTTAAAAAAGGATTCTTTTTCTTGTTTGTTTGCAAAAGGATTCTTAACCGAAGAACACAGATCCATGGTAGGTACACAAATTGCACAAAATAAAAGTGAGATTAGTGCGACAAAAGAACAATGTTTCCGGAATAGTGCCGTGGCTGGCCTTGCTATTAACATAGGGGTTCAGATGACGGTGAAATCTTGGAGCTGAAGTGCTGGTTTCACTTGGCTTGGTTCCATGATGCTGTATGCCGAGAGATGGCATGCTCTTTAGACATCTTTCAGTATGCCTAACACCAGAGAGAAATTCGATCTGATTCTGAATGTCACCAGAATGCAAGGTCAGGACCATCTGCACAGGGTGTCCCTAAAGCAGTAGGTCAAAAGACAAGCTAACGAAACCAGAGAGAGCCACCAAGAACAGAGATGTTCCTTGAAAAGGCCAGGGGACTGACAGGACAGGAGCCCACGACACGTACAGAGATGTGACACTTCTGTGCCCTGGGATTAAACCCAGCTGACAACGCATGGAAACAGATGCATATCCACGCAGAGTATCACGAATGCTTGGTGGCTCAAGTCCTACAGACTGCGGGCAAGGAAGGTGGGGTACCAATTAAAAAAGGAAGGACATGTCTGCAAGGAGAGCCAGATTTCAGAATGACACTCTCCCTCTTAGAAGCTTATCTTTGCCGAGACTGTCCCCACGGCTGGCATTTCAAGCTCACACACCAGTACCTTCCAGAAGGCATGGGGATGACGAGGCGACTTGGGAAACAAGATGGGTCAAGATTCCTCCGTGGGCTGAAGTCTCAGCTTTCCCAAGAGACCCAGAACTCCGCCTTTGGGATTCAGATGTCTTACAAAGGCTTCCCATTGTCTCTCTGCCCACCTTGCGGGAACACCACGAGGGGCCAAGGCACCCTCCCTTCCTGTCTCAGTCACTATCAAAGCCCCCGGCCCTGGGGTTCAGCCTGGACTCTAGGATCAACGCTGCTAGGTGGGCGGACACGCCTGGCAACATGCGTGTTCAGCTAGAGACTCCCCACAAGGTTTCGAAGAACTTCAGTGAGCCCAAGGAAACTTCCCAGGGGGATTCCCCAGGGTGACCCAGGAGGATAAGAGCAAAGAGGGTGGGTACCCTGCAAATCTCCACTCGGTTGGCAGCCTCCTCCATCTCTTCCCTGAGGGCATCAGCTTTGGCACCCGCAGGCTGTAAGCTGCTGGACAAACCTGAAGACTTGGAAGTCTGCTGCCACCTGATGGGAAAAAAACAGGAGAAAAAGAGGAAAGATGAGAGACAGGCAGAAGTCTTAGGGCTACTGACAGAATGCTGAGAAAACGGCTGGTTGCAAATACCACCTGGGTATGGAGGGGATGCAGGGTAACGAGCAGGCAGGCTACCAAGTGTGCTCCCCGGAGAAAGGTTTTCCTGATGCTGTCGTCCGTGCATTTGCCACTCTTTTGCCTTACTATCTTTCCCAACTCCCCACTCCTGTTGACTTTCAAAAATCTATGTTGGGGCCCGGCGCAGTGGTGCAGTGGTTAAGGTCCTCGCCTTGCATGCCCAGGATCCCATATGGGCACCGGTTCTAATCCCGGCAGCCCCACTTCCCATCCAGCTCCCTGCCTGTGGCCCAAGAAAGCAGTCAGGGATGGCCCAAAGCCTTGGGACCCTGCACCCACATGGGAGACCCGGAAGGGGCTCCTGGCTTCGGATCAGCATAGCATCGGCCATTGCGCTCACTTGGGGAGTGAATCATCAGATGGAAGATCTTCCTCTCTGTCTCTCCTCTCTGTATATCAACCTTTCAATAAAAAAATAAATCTTAAAAAAAAAATCTATGTTGTTTTGCGCTGAGTGTGAATGGTACGGTGACCAAAACAACACGAGAGGTGTCTGCCACATCCCTGCACACTGGAAGGTTCCATCTCGCCCTGCTCTCGGCTGTAGCTTTCTGCCAATGTCCGCTCTGAGTTGCCCATGTGATGACTGGCTCCGGGCTTCAGCCTGGGTTAGTCTTAGCTGTTGTGGGCCATTTAGGGGAACACACCAGCAGATGGAAGACCCTTCTCTGCCTTGCCTGTCTGTCTTGCTTGTCATCTTCAAATATAAGCAAGTCAAAACATAAATAAAATTTTTATGTATGCAATGATGTGTTGATGGAAACATATATCATGGAATAATCACAGCAAGGTAATTAACATAGCCATTATCTCATTTACTTTTTTTTTGTGTGTGGTAAGGCATTTGAAATTTAGACTGACCATAGCTCATAAAAATTCATTACAGATTTCATAATAACCACTGTTGGCTGTCAGTGTCGCTTCTGTTGTTTCATTTTCCTCTGGGAACTCACCTTCTTGACTGAAGCCAATAAAACATGCGTACTGAGAACAGATGCCCTAAGACTGGAAACTAGTAGGAAAACAAGAAATCCCCAGCCAGTAAGCACAAAGCAACTCCATAGCAAGACTTGGATATGTCATTGGTATTTCCTCTCTATATTTATTTATTTATTTATATTATATATATATATTTTTTTTTTGAAGGAAGGATAGTGGTTTTCCGAGGAAGCGACTTGGAAGGGATGGCCAAGGGCAGCACATGTATTTCTTGGTTGCTTTGTCACCATGAGGGGATTTCTGGAAGCAGGTCCCAATGACACCAGACAAGAACTAGCTGAAGTAGGTCACCGGGACACCTGTATTCAATATGTGAATGCCCGCCTTCAGTCCTGAGGCTCCTCTTCCAACTGGAGCTTCCTGCCAGCAGGTGGAACGGCTCCAGTACCTGAGTCTCTGGCACCCATAGGGGAGCCCTGGAGTGCATCCTAAGCTTCTGGCTTTGACCTGGTCCAGCCCCAGGTGCTGTAGGCATTCGGGGAGTGAGATTCGGGAAGTGAATTGCTGCCTTGGAAATAATAAGAATTTTTAAAAATAAAGTAGGATCTGACAGTGGGTCCTTTCCACTGCCAACAGCTGATAGGGCCAGCAAGGACAAAGTAAGTCAAAAAGGCCATTTTCCTAAATACTAGTCCACTTAATCCTTTATTATCTCCGACTTGTAACAGAGACATGAGCGATGCAAGTACTTTTTGGCTCTAAGGAAAACAATCCAGATGACAAATGGCAAAGTGTGGCTTTAATTCTGGGAAACGTGGAGGGAGGGGGAAGAGCTGGATAAGAGAAGTCAGGGTGCTGCCCCCAATGGGTGTAGGAGCCCAGGGAGGTAGGGATGGCTACCAGATGTTTCAGCTGGCAAGGGAGGCCGGGGCTGGTGCTTGACACAGCAGTGAAGACTCAGCCTGGAATGCCCACAATTCCTACCAAAGTGCCCAGGTTACAGTCCGGATTCGGTTTTTGATTCCAGCTTGCTAATGAGCAGCCTCGAGGGGAGCAGGTGACCGCTCAAGTGGCTGGATCCCTGTCACCCATGTGGGACATCTGACTCAAATTCTGGACTACTGGCTTCGGCCAGTCCTGACTGTTGCAGGAAAATATTTAGGGGAGAGAACCAGAAGAAGGCGAAAAAAGAGAAGAATCTATCTTGGTATTTTTGCCTTGCAAGTTATCAAAGTAAGAAGGAATGGAGGAGGAGTGAGGAAGGAGGGGAGAGATGCTGAGAGAAGGAACAACAGGAAGGAGAGGGGGAAAGAGGCAGGCTAGAAATTTTCAGGTTTCCTCTCCTGATGTAACATGGCAACAGATTCAACAATTTTGTTTAAACATTTGGTAGGCCAGCAGTGCACAGATCAAACAAGGTAACTCCTCAGGTTCTCTCAGGCTCTCGGACTGCAAGGCTTTAAAGAAGAGGGAAAAAGTTGAGCATCATCCTCATCTTGAGAATCAAGGACCTCATCACTAGATGTTTTCTCAATTTTTTTTTTCCTGTTCATCTGTAGGCATGGCTGTACTGAAGATCAAATGGTTCTTAGAAAAAAATCAGCAACAGAATATAGGAGTCAGCGCCACCTGGATAATGCGACCATAGCAAAATGAATTTTCAAAGACTATGGGGAGTCTACGAATGCTCGCTTCCTTGCTTCGCGCGCTGCATATAAACCCCTGCCTCCTTCTACTGGCCTGGGGTGGCCAGTCTGCTGTGCAGCAGGTGCACGAACCCCGTCTCAGGAGAGGGCAGTTTCTGCAGGAATCTCTCCACTTTGGGGGGTCCTATAATAAGGTGGCATCACAAAGGGAGCCTGGTTGTGCCCCTGACACATCAGCCCATGGGTGTCAGCCATCCTTGAAGCCATCTGGCAGTTCCCCTGAGTATTCATCAGACTGAGGGACAGTCCCCCTCACGGCAGTGTGCTGAGCAGGTGTCAGGGTCTAGGGTGCTTTTTGAGTGCAAGGAACCCAGACCTGTCTAGTGGCAATCTGGGCATGATGATGCAAGGTGATCCCTTGGTGCTAATTTGGCTTCAACCTTTCTGTTACTGGAAGGAGGTCCCTGAAGGCTGAAGCAATGACTTGGTCACTTTGATAAACTCATTATATGGTTATCTGAACAGGTTCAATTTCAGGGTGAGCAACCTTAAAAAGCAATGCTGCCCCTGTGCTCGACTCCCTAGCAAACGTTGGCACAAACTCTCTTCTCAGGCTCTATGATGATTTAGAATTTAAAATGTTTACATCAGAAATCTAAGATGGGGCCAGTGTTAACAGCTCATAGGAACACTGGTTTCAGTCCCAGCTACTCCACTTGTGCTCCAGCTCCCTGCTATTACACCTGGGGAAGAAGCAGAGGATGCTTGAAATATCTGGGTCCTTGGTATTCATATCGCAGACAGGGATGGAGTTCTTGGCTCCTGGTTTCAGGCTGACCCAGCCATTGTGGTCACCTGGGGAATGAATCTGTGGATGAAAGCTCTCTTCCTGTTTATTCCCCTTTCTCTGTATCCTCTTCTTTCACATAAATAAAAATAAATATTTTTTCTTTTTTTAAAAAAAGACTTATTTATTTCTATTGCAAAGTCAGATATACAGAGAGGAGGAGAGACAGACAGGAAGATCTTCCACCCCATCATCTACAAGTGACTGCAACAGCCAGAGCTGAGTCGATTCAAAGCCAGGAGCCTCTTTCAGGTCTCTCACATGTGAGCACGGTTCCAAGGCTTTGAACTGTCCTTTACTGCCTTCCCAGGCCACAAGCAGGGAGCTGGACAGGAAGTAGGGCTGCTGGGACTAGAACTGGCAGCCATATGGGATCCTGCAGCATACAAGACGAGGACTTTAGCCACTAGGCTACCATGCCACCCCCTCCTTTTTTTTTTTCAGAAGCATAAGACAGCAGGATAACTTGATTCTTCACTCTTTCTTTGATAGGCTTCCTTAAGACTAAAGTTCAAAATCAAGTTGTATTTTTAAAGATCTATTTATTTGAATGGCAGAACTAGAAAAACAGAGATATTGTTCATCTGCTGATTTATTCCCCAAGCAGCCACAACAAGCAGGAGTAGACAAGGCTGAAACCAGAAGCCAAGAACTCCATCTGGGTCTCCCTTGAGTGTGCCAGGGGCCCAAGCACTCACATCATCCCCCACCACATTCCCAAGCTCATTAGCACGGAGCTGAAGTGGAGCATCCAAGACTTGAACTGGTACTCAGATATATTACCAGAACAGTGGGCAGGCAAAGGGCTTAGCTCATCATGCTACAACATTGGCCTGTTACTTTCTGTTAAACATTTATTTATGTATTTGAAAGGCAGAAAGCAAGGGAGGGAGAAGGGAGTGAGAGAGAGAGAGCAAGAGAGAGAGACAGAGAGATCTTCCCCTGTTGGCTCACTTCCAAAATGGCTGCAACTGTTTACTGCTTGGTCTGGCTAAAACCAGAAGCTAAGAACTCAGGATTCCCACGTGGACCCAAGTAGTTGGTCATCACCTGTGGCCTCCACAGGTACACTCTTAGCAGGGAGCTGGACGTATAGTAGAGCAACCAATCCTTGAACTAGTACTGTTACAACAGCATGGTAATCAGCAGATTAACTAGCCATGCTACAAGGATACTCCCTGGAGATGAGCCTTGCAGCTGAGTCTTCCACTTAGAGATCATCAAAGGATCCCTTTCTCATCTTGGGAAGACAATAGCTAATTAGGATCATTTGGGTTGTATGAAAGGTATTGTCAAGTTGTGAAGTGATGTTAAACTTTTTCATTTTAAAAATATTCGCTTGGGCCCGGCACAGTGGCTTAGCGGCTAAGGTCCTAGTCCTGAACACACCAGGATCCCATATGGGTGCTGGTTCTAATCC